AAAAAAAGAGTGAAAAACAATGAGGAAAGTCTAAGAATTATGTGAGACACCATCAAGATTACATGTGATTGGAATTCTAGAATAGGAGGAGACTGAAAAAAAGCACCTAGAAAATTGTCAAAGATTTTTGTTGAAAGAAATCTTCCCTAATACCATGAAAGATGAGAAATGCATTCAAGAAGTTCATTGAACCCCTATTGTATGGCTTTTGCCTGGGTTATTTCCTCTGCTTGGAATACTCTTCCCTCAGAGGTCTAGATTAGTAATTCCTTCAACTTGAAGTATTTGCTCAAATTTTACTTTCTTAACCTATTATGACCATGCTGTTTATTTAATAGTGCAACCTAACTCTCATCTCCACCACTCTGGATTCCTTTTACTCTGCTCAGCTTTACTTATTTCCATAGCATTTATAATAGTTTGATATAAAAATATAATTTTCTCAGTATTCTTACTGCTTATTGTGACTCCCTGAGCTAGAATTTGAGTGTCACAAAGGGAGAGCTCTTTGTCAGTTTTGTTCACTGATATATCCCAGGTGCCTAAAAGGAAAAAAAAAAAAAAAAGCATTGACTAAACAAATGCATTATTTGCAATTTGTGCTTCCTGAACTCCAAACAGTCCAATTAAAAAAATCAAGCAAATAAAGAAAAACTTAATTTGATAATGTCTCAAATTATAAATTACTAAGAGCACTGAACTTTAGTTTCCTCATTTGTTAATGAGCATGTCATAGGATTTTTGTGATATTTGAATGAAATGATGTATATGAAAACAGTCAATAATCAGGAATTAAAGAATTTTTCCCCCCAGGTTATAGGCCTGTATAAAATAAGGCCTCAAAGGCAAGGAATAACAATAACAATAAGCCCTTCAAAGCCAAAACTGTAGTCAATTCTGACTCAAGTTGATCTCATGTGTGTTAGGGTAGAACTGTGCTCAATAGTGTTTTCAGTGGCTGATTAGATTCTGGACGATCAAGCCTTTCTTCTTAGGAGCCTCTGGGTGGACTTGAACTTGAACCTTCAACCTTTAGGTTAGCAGCTGAGTGTTAACCATCTGCACCACACAGGAACTCCTTAGAGGCCAGTTATTTACCTTCTCAGTGATGTTGTTCTTCCAAAGCCTGCTATTTACTCTTAAATTTGGGATGTTGAGTAGGTAAACATTAAGACTAGGAAAAAATTATGTAAATATGTTTATAAATATTAATAAACATTTATTGCAACAATTTTAATGGAAAGACTGAGATCATAGTCACTGAGAATGACATGCAAACTTAGGAGAAAATTAAAAATTATACTTACATTGGGCTTTTAAATGTCTGATTTTCTTGAGAATTAAACTATATATTTAAAGAAAATAAATTTACGTCTTCTGACTCAAATGATACTTAGCCTTACAGAAATACATTACACAAGGACTAATAACAATTCAAATGTGATAACAATGTTGTTGTTATGTGCCATCAAGTCGGCCCTGACTCATAGCAACCCCTCCTTGGGTTTCCAAGGCAGTGTCACTATGGAAGTAGATTGCCCAACCTTCCTTCTGAGGAGTGGCTGATGGGTTTGAACCGCCAGCCTTCTGGTTAGCAGTCAGGTGCCTTAGGCACTACACTACCAGAGCTCCTGTGATAACAATGAAACACACCTAGAATAATGAACATTCTCCAAGTCCAATACTTTCACTCTGTCTTCAGTGAAATATATTATGCAGTTTGTTTTTAAGTGCAAGACAGCAGGGTAGTAAATCTACATAGCAGAGCATTCAGCATACATGCAAATTTTTCTTTCTTCTTCCTTTTTTTTGTAAAGGTACAAGTAACCTCTGTTAAAAAGAAAAAAATATATTGTGAGTCCCATGATGGATCCACTTAGTCCTTGGTACTCTTTCTTTTCTCTGAAATATTAGGAATTGGCTGAAAAGGCAATTATTATTGCCATTGTAAGTACTCCATTAGGCCAAGCATTGTAGAAAGTGCCAGCTAGCAAGGTGGAGTGCTCTGAAAGTTGACAGAACCCCAGAAAATTAAAAATTAATGTCCGGAATGATGTTGCTTAAGCCTCCCTCTAGAGAAGAGGCCTGTGAAGGTCAAGGCAAGCCTTTCATGTTATCTTTGTGTTCACTATGACTTTTCCTTTAACTCTTTACTTTCTCTTCCTGTCTACTCCTGATCTTAAGCCTAGAGTAGACAGAGATTTTTTTTTATCAGTGGCACTGAAAATGACAAAGTAATACAATCAACAGTTAACATAGACAATACAATTTCAGTTAACATAGAAGCATAATATATTTCACTGAAGAGAGAGTAAAAGTATTGGACTTGGAGAATGTTCATTATTCTAGGTGTAAGTGTCTCATTGTTACCATGTTTGAATTGTTATCAGTCCTTGTGTAAAATATTTCTGTAAGGCTAAGTATGATTTGAGTCAGGAAGATTTAAGTTTCTTGTTAATAATGTGTTGCAAAATGGGCAAACTAGGTATGTTTGGATTTCAGTTTTAAAACATTCAATTAAGATGTCAAAATATTAAAGCTAATTAAATTTCTAGTAGAATTCTTTCCCCCAGAAACAGATTATAGGCTCTAATAACACACCATGATTCTAGATGGCTGAGACATGTGTTGTTTACTTTCAAGTCTTTGGCAGGTCTTTTCATTTTGGTTATTGTACCAACTCTTTTCATTTCTTTGCTTTTTAATTAATTTTTTTCCTCACCATTTGTGTCATTGTTTGGCTTACCTTAGACAAATAATCTGGGAAAAGGTACAAATATTTTGAATGTGGGTTTTCCCAGATCTGAAATTTACCAGATTTGAGTATGTAGAAATAAGCTGGAATGTGGTATAATCATTAATACATTAAAAAAAAAAACATTGCCATCGAGTCGATTTTGACTCATAGTGACCTCCATTGGGCTTCCAAGGTGGTAAATCTTTTGAAGTAGATTGCCCATCTTCCTTCCATGGAGCAGCTGGTGGGTTAGAACCACCAACCTGGTTAGCAGTCAAATGCCTTAGGTATTGTGCCACCAGAGCTCCTTATTAAAACAAAGCCATGTGTTTATGTACTGTATCTGTGTATACATCTTCTATTTATACACGTAAATTGTGTTTTTATGTGCCAACAAGTCGATTCTGAGTCATAGTAACACTATATGACAGAGTAGAACTGACCCATAGGGTTCCTTAAACAATAATCTTTATGGGGGCACATCATCAGCTCTTTTCTCCCTCGTAACCACTGGTAGGTTTGAACTGCTGACCTTTTGGTTGGCAGTGGAACACTTAACTGTTGCACCACTAGGGCTCCTTATATGTAGATTAATATGTGTAAATTTACATGGTTTTCTAAATGAGTTTATATAAAGACATTCAATTGATATATGTACATAATTGTAATATAATTTTTTTTTTCCTTTTTTTCTTTATGGTAAGTCATTTGATTATTTGCTTTTTTTTCCTGCAGAGATCAGTGTTACTCTGTGAAGATGAGCTTTGAAAATTTAATTTAAATAATGTGATAGCCCAGTAGACTCCATTACTTGTAATAGTATTTCCAGGTCCAACTATCTGAAAGCAAATTATGTATTTATCTTTCTTCCTGATAAATAAATTGAAATACAAAGGTAGTTTACCTTCCCTCAGAAAGAGACTGCCAGAGATCAATACATTCTACATTGTTTATTCTTCATCATTTATTGTGTTTTGAGGGTGCTAATCGTATGTATGGGAGCTCTGGTGGCATAGTGCCTAAGGCATTTGACTGCTAACCAGAAGGCTGGCGGTTCAAACCCACCAGCCACTCCTCAGAAGGAAGATTGGGCAATCAACTTCCGTAGTGATACTGCCTTGGAGACCCAAGGAGAGGTCGCTGTGAGTTGGGTCCGACTCGACAGCAGTGTGTTTTTGTTTTTTCAATCATATGTATTATAATGTTCGAATATATATTTTTTGGCATTGTATGTTGTTGTTATTAGATGCCGTCAAGTCAGTTCCAACTCACAGCAACCCTATGAATGAAACACTGCCCAATCTTGTTCCATCCTCACAATCATTGCTGTTTGAGCTGTTGCAGCTGCTGTCAGTCCCTTTTGTTGTGGCATTATATACCAATAGCTATTTTCCATAAGATAATTTTAAAAAAAAAATATCTTAGAAACAACGTTAGTTATTAGAAAATTTTGTTATAATTTAGGGAGTTAATTCTATTTCTGTAAGTAAAGGGGTTAACAAAACTTCTTCTTCATGGGAAGATCAGTCTGCCTTAACATTCTAACCAAAACCAAACCAATCACTGCCGTCAAGTCGGATCTGATTCATAGCAACCCCTCCTTGGGTTTCCAAGGCAGTGTCGCTATGGAAGTAGATTGCCCGATCTTCCTTCTGAGGAGTGGGTGGTGGGTTTGAACCGCCAGCCTTCTGGTTAGCAGTCAAGTGCCTGAGGTGCTAAGCCACCAGAGCTCCTGTGTTAACATTCTAGCACTGTTGTATTAGAACCCTGGTAAAAGTAAAGATGACCTCACTGGTAATCTAACTTTGAAGTGGTTGGAGTGTGGAAGGACTTTAAATTCCTAACTAGAAGCCATACCTTTGGGCTTTTCTGAGTGAAGTGTACCTCTTGTGTCCTCTTTGTGGGGAACCCTGAACGCCATGTTCATGGAGTGTTTCATTTCTGACCCAGTATGTTTCTTGTGCCATCTGTGTGATCTCACTACTTAATGCTTGACTTGTTTCTTACAGAGGCTGGAGAATGAATGGTCTCTGGACTTCTCTTACTGAAGAGATATGCTTGATACTGTCCTACTGACAGTTTTGTATTCTTCAGAGCTAGTCTAGGGCAGATTATGGCCTATTGAATCTTGCTAGTGTGACTAACCTGCTGAACCCAAGATCACTGCTGCTGGTTGAGCAGAATGACCATAGTACTATCATGAATATTTAATTTGAAAAGTGTAATAGTAATAATAACAAGTAAATTTTCCTTTATTTTTCAGAAATGTGTAACGGATGAATGTTTCTTTTTTGAACGACTGGAATCTAATAACTACAATACTTACCGGTCAAGGAAATACTCCAGTTGGTATGTGGCACTGAAACGAACGGGGCAGTATAAACTTGGACCGAAAACAGGACCTGGACAGAAAGCTATACTTTTTCTCCCAATGTCTGCTAAGAGCTGATCTCAATGGCAGCATCTAATCTCATTTCACATGAAAGAAGAGGTATATTGAAACTTGATAATGAGAGAAAAAGAAATGTGTATAGTCATCTGCTCAGTTTGGATAACTGATTAGATCACTTTTTAACTACCAGTAAAATATTTAACCATTGCCTGAGTTAACAAAAATAACAACAACAAAAAAAAAATTCTTGGAAAATATACAGACTTTCCGTCTTTCATACAGCATTTACTTTTGTCTGGTGAAGCTTACTTGAAGCTACAATCTTTTTCATAAATTTATTTTATTTCAAAAGAGGCTTTAAAAATGTACACATTTATGAGCAAATTTTTCTTCATAAAAACTATGTATATGAGAAAATTAAAGTCAGATATTTAGTTAATCACTGAAAATGTTCACTACTTCCTATAATATGGCACCATATTTTAAAATGTTTTAAACATTCAAATATGAATTTGGTACATTCTTTATCATAGTTTTATAGTTCTCTGGCAGTTTCTTGTGATAGAGTTTATAGAACAGCCCTGTGTAAACTGCTGGAAATTCTTCCATGGTCAGATCAATCTTGTCAAATCCTTCTTTGTACCCGTACAAAAGCAGCCGAGCAACTCTGCTGGTAATAGGAGTTGTATTTTCAGTCTTGACCAGGTCATAGAGATCTATCCACTCACACCTTAGACATTCATGCTGGCAAAAATTGATGGTGAATGAATAAGGCTTTAGGCGGCAGATGATATACATATCCGACTTCCCAAAAACTCCTGGATTGCCGTGCTGTTGCCGAATACTCAAGAGAGATCTGAATTCTGATTTTATACCAGTCTCTTCAAAAACTTCTCGAACTGCTGTATCTCCTACATAAAAGGAAGATGTACAAATCAACAAAGAGCCTGTTTCTAGAAACTTCATCATCAAAGATTTTCGGTTAAAGTAATGTATCTAAATGTTCAAAAGTAAAGCTCCACCCCAAGAAAGTAAAGTTTTTAGCACAAACACTGTACCTTCTGGACATCCTGAAATGGTGGATATGACCAAAGTATTTTCTTACCACTTTATATCTAACAAGCTTTTAAAATATTGGATATTCCTTTGGCTGCTACTTACCCCACTGTGCATTTTGGGGGTCACATCCTTCTAATCTCTTCCTTCTCTATTTCCTAAAAGGTAAAAAAATATGCTGCAAAAGTTAAAGCACATGGTCCAAAGCTGTAGGTGATAATCCTGCATATCTCTAAAGTGCTTGACTATTAACCAAAAGTTTGGTGGTTTGAATCCACTGGCCACTCTATGGGAGAAAGATGTGGCAGTCTGCTTCTGTAAAGATTTCAGCCTTAGAAACTCTATGGGGCAGTTCTACTCTGTCCTGTGGGGTCACTATGAGTCAGAATTGACTTGATGGCAACAGGCTTTGTCTATCGTGTTTCTGATCACACATCAAAACTGCCTAAATTTATTCTTATCAGCATCAAGAATACAAGATCCATTTTTCCTTATAAAAGTCTATTGAGCTCCAGAATGTATTGAAGTATGTAATGACTCTAATCTCTCCTGGTGATTTCATGTGGGCCCATCATGCCCTAGAAGACATCTAGCATATTCCTTCATAAGCATTTTGAAAAGAGGTTATTGCCCCTGTAATTTTGCTGTCAGTGGAATCCCACTCTAGTAATTTTTGGCATTTCCTTTATTTCTTAAGATTCCAAGAACTTGAATTTATTCTTCCAACACCAAAGTGCTGCAGTTATTTCATCACAAGTTTTCAAAGAACTTGCAATATATTGTTGTTGTTGTTGTTGTTATTTGCCGTCGAGTCGGCCCCGACTCATAGTGACCCCTCCTTGGGTTTCCAAGGCAGTATCACTACGGAAGTAGGATTGCC